CCCCAAAACCCCAAAACCCCAAAACCCCAAAACCCCAAAACCCCAAAACCCCTAATCTTTGTTAATAATTGATTATAAAAATATTTAATTGCAAATTGCAAATGAGCCAGAGTCTATTAAAAGTCAGCTCCCAAGGAGTCAGAGATTTCAAACAAAAACAAGAAGACATTATGAACGACGATCTTGGAGATGTTTATAATGAGCAACCCGCTAAGAAAGCGCCTCTTCTCGATAAGACCAAGGCGAGCGTTTCAGGCATCCAAGGAGCCAAGAAGAAGGTGGTCAAGAAGAACGTGACGTTGAAAGCCTCCAAAGGATTTACAACTCTTACTAAGAAAGATCTTATTTTGAGAAATCGTAAGTAATATTTTGATGAAGCCATTCTGGCCAGATAATTCCACACCTTGTATTTATATTTTCATAGAATTAGAAACAATGGATGAGGAAGAGCAGCTGGATTATCTCCAGAATGAAAACGATAACGCTAGATGCATGGTTAGCGACCTGATGGAGTCCCTCAAAGGTGCCATGAAAGCATTTAAAACTACTCAAAAGCCGGCTCCTAAAGCAGATTTTACTAAAAGAAACGAAAGTGTTGAAGGTATTCTTATCATTGAACTTATTCCTATTTACTCGATTGACTCTCGTTAATAACCAAAATATCTAGAAACTGAGCAAAAAGTGAAGAAATACTCCAAGGAGATAAGTCTGTACAGAAGACTATTAGCTAATTCATACAACATCAGTGAAATTGAGTCTCTCGAAGGCTCAATCAGAATCAAACAAACTGAACTTGAGAAGGTGAAGAGCGAAAATACCAAAATCAAGAAATGGATAAAACAGAACGAGAAGGATAAGCAGAATATCAATGAGAATGGCTTCTATGACAATGAGGTCTATAAATTGAAGAACGAATATCGCCAGGACAAGCAAAAGATCCGTGAGCTCTACTATGACAATCTGAAGAGGAGGAAGGGCCTTATTGAGAGGCACGAGGCTGTTGTAAGACTTGAAAATGGCATGAAAAGGATGAAAGATCTTATTAAAATGCATAAAAGAGAGAAAATGAATCATTCAAATAACACTGAAATTGTTAAATCAGAAAGAGCAGTCACTGGTAAAGTCTGGGATGTTGATGAAATGAAGAAGAAAGTTGACAGTGCTAAGGGTAGATTAAAGAAAGAACAAGAAAATATAGATAAAGAAGCCGAAATGCAAGAGGAGAGGATCCGAGAATTGGAACATCAGGTGAATATCTCCTCTCTCAAGCTCAAGGAGAAAGATAAAGAACTTAGTTTAGCACAGCTCAAGATTAGAGAACTTGGTAGAAATTTAAGACATAACACTCTGAAGCCTCTTCCAATTACTCCTGGAAATCTGACATCAAGAAAAAGAAAGGGACTTGTTCCTCATAAAGAGCTAGAAGGCACTTTAGTAAGAAGGAACGGATCCAAGAATACTTTCAGTGGTAAGAGGAACTCGACAGGGGGTTACACCAGAATAACTTCAACTAAGTCATAATACAGTTGGCTTCGCTTTGGATAACGCGTAGATTAATTCAATTAAGTGTTAAATCAATTCTACATTCTCTTTCTCATGACAAAAATGCCTTTTGAGGTCTTTCCTCAGTAAGGTAATATGCTCTAATTTAGTCTAGCAAGTTAATGGAATATAACCAATAAGCTTAGGATCGATTACATAATACTAAGCCAATATTTCAATACTCTTTGTGAGTAAAGGGGTTTTGGGGTTTTGGGGTTTTGGGGTTTTGGGG